GCCCCCAGCCCCAGGCCCAGCCTCAGCTCCAGCCCACAGCCCCAGCCTCCAGCACCCAGCTCTAGCCTCTGGCCCCCAGCCCCTGGCCCCCAGCCTCCTTTCATAAGTGTCCCACGCCGGACCAAGGCGGCACACTCACAGACTGAGACGGCGCGCTCATGGACCGAGGTGGCACAGGGGGGGCATTGCACCAGCTTGGGCCAGAGCAACCCGCAGTCCGAGTCTGGCTATGGTGTGAGCAGCCATGTCTGGGTAAGGAGCCGAATGCGGGAGTTGCAGTTCTGTGTCAGGCTGGTTCTGCAGAGCAGCAGCAGGGCCCCTGTCCTGGACCAGGCTGCCCTGCCACAGCCTCCCTTGGCCGGCTGGCCCAGCAAAGCACCAGGTGAAGAAGCAACTTCTACTGGCAAGAGAAGTCTGGTCTTCATGCTAGCCCTCTCCCAGACTGGGAGACATGCCAGTAGGAAGACTACCCACTGGTGCAGGTGATCTGTGCACAGGGCCGGGGTGGGGTCCTGCCACCTACATGTGTGACTTGTCTCACACCCCTGACAGACCAGTGTCTGCTGCACCAGCTGTGCTGGGTAGTGCTGGCATGTGTAGGTCACCTCTGCTGCTGGGCCTGGCCAGGCTTGGGGGCTGAGTGCGGGAAGGGATTGGTGACCATCACTGTGTCTGGGGACACCACTGTCCAAGTCCCTGCCCAACTTGGTCTTTCTAATGAGGTCACATATGGTACCAGCCTTTGATTGCTTGAACTATCTGGGTGTTCCACACTGAACAGCAAACATCTGCAGGCCATTAAAACAAGCCTTAGATGATCTCACAGATGCGAGAAGGAGGGTTGCGTTTGTCCATTTCTTCTGCTTTCAACTGGACAGTGCAGGCCTGAACAGGCTTTTCCCTCTTTGCTGCCTTGGTCCAAGTCTTCTGCAGTTTTGCTAGATTGCAACATGGAGCTCTTCCCCTACTTTGTGACAGCTTTGTGGGTCAAGGAGTGCCTGGTCTATGTGCAAAATTGTACCCAATTGACCTGTAGGTGTGCACCTTTCCTGGTGTAAACATGGCCTCTTTTCAGTCTTCCATATATTCACTGGGAATCAGTTTAAGTGAGACTGGGAAATGAGACTTTTCATTCCGGAATAAAAGCATCCACATGAGAGTTTAGAGTGAAACCAGGTAATCCAGTTTAAATTGGTACTTTACAGGTGCATCTTACATGTGCACTTTACTGCGCAGTAGACTAATTTGCTGCTCAGTAAAGCATCACCGTTTCCACATGGGCAGCATTTAGGCCTATGTAGACTAATTTACTGCACTGTTGCATAGTCCCATCAGACATAAGCACTGTCCAGTGGTGGAGTAAATTACTGCACTTAAACGCATGTATAGACAGTGATGTCTATATTAGTTTACTCCTGCTCAAATTTTGCCAATTTATTCGACCGCATTAATTGCATGTGTAGATGTGCCATCTGTTATTTCAGTCTAACATCTTGGCCAGGTACAGACATTACACTTTTACAGATGTAAGTGATCAGAAACCTGACTATACCCATAACAGAACAAGAGTTTACCACACATAGGGCATGTCTACACGTTCATTAATGCACAGTAGTTGGTGAAGATTTATTTTAGTACTTGCTTAATGAAGTACTAACTAAATGCACAGCAACAGCAGTTACTGTGTAGTAGCACTGGCAAATGCCTTTTTTGTGACACTCCACTAAGAACAGGACGTCCTTTTTTGTGACACTCCTGGCGTCCTTTTTTGTGACACACCACTAATTACACTACACAGTAGCATATTAGCACTGTTTATGCTGTCATGTGCTACTGCACAGTTTTATTAGTTTCCTGCACGTTAAGCATCTCATGTGGATGGGCCCATAGACTAGTATAAAAATGGCAGAACATCTAGGATGTTGAAGATGGGGATGTGAGAGTGTGGAACATCACAGAATCATAGCAAATGAGGGTTGGAAGGGACCACAAGAGGTCACATCTAGTCCAACCCCTTGCTCAAAGCAGGACCACCCCCAACTAGATCATCCCAGCCATGGCTTTGTCTAGCCAGGTCTCAAAAACCTCAAAGGATGGAAATTCATCACATAGAAGACAACGTACATGTAGGGAGTCAGTTGATAATGAACAACAGGAAGTTCTTCTCCATCAGTGTGGAATCAAAGTGTGGGTCTCATTGCCAACAGATGCAATGGAAGCTGACCATGAGCCAGATTCACAAAGAGATTAGACACGTTCTTGGAGGAAAGGGGCATCGGTCATTATTGAGCATGGGAGTGAGGGGCATGGCCTCTGAATCAGAACTCCCTAGATCTTAAATGCCGAAGGCTGCAAGTGAGAGAGGAGCAATGAAAAAAACCTGGTCATGCCCAGTTCACTCTCCTTTTCAGCATCCACTGTCTGCCCCTGTGGGACACAAGAGACTGGGCAAGATGAACTTATGGTCTGACCCAGTCAATGGCAGTTCCTATATTCTTAATCTCCCAATTTGTGTCTCTGGCAAACACTAAATAAGCCAATCCTGTTTGGTTGTTATTTTTTCTAGATCCTGAAAGAAGAAGGTGCTGAGTGAAGACCTGGCTTGCAGCTGAGCCCAGAAGGATTTCTCAAGCAAGTCTTGTGTGTGTCTGTGAGACAGCACCCATTGGATGGTCATCAAAGATCCAGGCCTGGGACACAGAGGAGCTGTATTTTGTAGCTCAGACGTGGAGAAGCAGGGACCCCTGAGAAAGTAGGAGACTCTGAAAAGCAGAAGGGATACCTCAGGTCTGAAAGATTGCCATAGACTGAAGAAGAATGAGGCCAGATAGGTGCTGACGGGCTATGAGGGGAATCTGGAGCTGAGAGTCCCTGCAATCCTTGGAGATCATGGTTGAAAGAGCCCATCAAGACATTTCTCCTAAAGGTCATAGACACAACCCCAAGTCCCAGCCTCCATGTTGCCTTTTGCCATTCTTGCATGGCTGGGGGAAGTGGAAAGGACAGAGAGAGCTGAGCATCGAGAACCTGCGGGAAGTTGAGCACCAGCTGGAGTCCCAAGGGAAGATGACTTTGAGGTTAAGAAGTTGTTACAAGCTGGCCCTCGAGAAATTCCCTCAGGAGCCCCCGTGTGTGCAGGACAATGCCCGGATGGTCATTGAAACCCAGGAGACAAAGCTGATATTTGTCTCTGGGGAAGGGGAGTGTGAGATCAAGGTATTCCATACCACAGAAAGTCCCCAGTATGAAGTGAGTGAGCCCACAAAAGACGTGTATCTGGCCAGGCTCCTCCATCAGCCTCAACAGCTGTCTATTGCAAACCTCAAGGATGTCAAGACAAGACTAGAGGCCTGCAGTTCTCTGACAAAGGAGTTGAAGATCTGTTTTGAGGAGGCCCTGAAGGAATTCCCTCAAGAACCCGAGTGTGTGAGAAACAATGCCTGCCTGCTGATCCACGGTGATGGGATGAAGCTGAGATTCATTTCAGGGGAGGGGGAATGTGAGATTACTGTGTCCACAGGGAAACCCCACTACAAAGTCAAGGAACCCACTAAAGATGTGTTCCTGGAAAGGTTGTTCTCCCGGCCCCAGTGGCTGAGCAAGCAGAACCTCCAGAGAATCCACAATGGGCTGGCATCCTGGGAAGGGATAAGCACGGAGCTGAGAAGCTGTTTTGACATCTTCCAGGAGAAGTTTCCCAATGAGCCAGCATGCATCCAAGAGATTCCCACCATGAACATGAAGTGGGATGGGACAAGGCTGCAGTTCCTCTCAGATGGAGACCTCACCGTCACCATCACATGGCAGGATGGGAAACCTACCTATGAGGTCAATACAAAGACCTGGACAATGTATCGGAAGATACTCCAGTGTAGTAAACAACCTCTGAGCACAGAGAACCTCGAGGAGGTGCGGTCAAAGGTAAGGAGTCTGCAGAAAGTGCCAAACAAGGTCAAAAATGTGCTGAACGTGGCTGTAGAGAAGTTCTCCAATGAGCCAAGGTGCCTTCAGGAGAACGCAAGGCTGGTCATGGAGTGCGATGTTGGGGAGATTGTCTTCACCTCCGGGAAAGGAGAGAACATAGTGGATGTGTGCTTCACTAATGGGAAGGTCTACTCTAACGTGAAGGAGACCATACGAGTGAAGATCTGTAGGGCATTCCAAAACATTGCCCGGAATCTACTTTCAATTTTTCTGAAATATGTTCTGCCATATCTTCCATGTTGTATACCAGTCAGTAAAGTGGCTTCATAGCACTGAGGTGACCCATCCAGAGTAGGGCTCTTAGCTCCCCTTCCCTGAGCTTGAACCATCTAGGCCCCACAGTCCTCCCAGAGGTGGGCGAGACCCCAGGACTCCTGCTTCTTGGCCCTCCAGCTCTCACCCTGAAAACTCATTAGAGGTGGGAAAAACCCAGGTGTCCTGGCTCTTCAGCCCTCCTACTGTCACCTCTGAGATCTCACAGTCACAGTCATCCCATAGTGGAGAGACAACCCAGGAGTCCTTCCTGCCAACCCCTCCTTCTCTAACCCCCTCTCTCCCTCCACATATCCCACAGCCCTCCCAGAGATGGAAGCGAAGCCAGGGGTCCTGGCTCCCAGTACCCATATTGGAACAAAGTAGACCCTACTCCCTTCCCGGCGGTGGAAGACAGTCCAGGTGTCCTGATTCACTGTGCCTACCCCCATTGTAATCCAGTAGACCACACTGCCTTCCCCAGGCTGGGAAGTGACCCAGGTATTCTGGCTCCAAGTCCCCCCAACTCCTTCTTACCTGGTAGCCCACATTACTCTGGCAGAGCTAGGAGAGAACCCAGGAATCCTCCCCCCTATCCCTCCTGTTCTCAACACTTCCAGATCCCATCATCTTCTCAGAAATGGGAGGAGAACCCTGAATCGTGGCTCCTAGAGCCCCCCATTGTAATCCAGGAGACCCCAGAGCTGGGACAGAGCCCAAGTGTCCAGGATCCCATCCCCGCTGTGTTCTAACCCAATGGACTCCTCTCTCCTCCCACAGCTGGGGGAGAGCCCAGGAGTCCTGCCTCTCAGCCCTCCAGTTCTCACCACCCCCAGATCCCACTGTCCACTCACAGCTGGGAAGAGAACCCCAGTGTCTTGACTCCCCAACTAGACCCAGCTTCCCTACATGAAAGGGGAAGCAACCAGTTACTTGACCCTCTAGGCCTGGACTCTAGGTGTTCATTTCCTCAGCCCTGCCAAAGCCAGAGCACTTGGCTCTAGGCTTGCGTTTACATGCAGTTGAGCAAGGAGATCTTTGGGAGAATTTTGGCATGAAGGCAGCTACCTAAGGGGTTTTGGCATGCCCCAGGGCTCAAAGCCAGCTGAAAAACGGGGGCTTTTTTTTGGCAGCACAGATTTGGATGTTAACAACCCTCTCATCTTGATCTTCCACTATTCAAGCTATCCTTTCTTCGGCAATGTTGCTGTCTGTTGGCCATTCCTGGTGATGCCCTTCCATTTCATAGCCATGCAGGGGCTTTTTAGCTCTAGCTAAAAACCTTGACTCAGGTGCGATCCTATGAACTCAGGGGCACAAATGGCTGATAGTGTAGTATTGGAGGCCTTTTCAAGACACTCAAGAAAGCTAGATATTGTTTTACAGATCTGAATAAGAGATGTATATTTAACTATAAGGACTACAAGACTAATGAAATGTTATCTTTGTACTATTCTTGCCTAGTTTGTTGCACTATTCTTTAACTTACATATATGAATGAAGCAAGTTTTTTTTTTACTATTCTGACAATTTTTGCCTAATTTCTGGGGTTTTTAGAATGTTTTCAAATGTATTATCTAGCAAATAAGTGCGCATTCCAATAAAAGATATATTTGTTGTTGCTTTGATATTCAACTGATATGGTGCTTTGCATACTAATAAAGCTTCTAGTTTCTTTTAACTGGAGGAAAAATATATTATATGTGATGTCATGTGTTATAGTGTATGTGATTATGCACCATGCCATTTGCACCCTACTTTTCAAAATCCTAGATCTGCCCATGGACCTATCACTTCATCTAATTTCTTCTCAGTATAATATAGGACCACTGGTGTTGTACTCAGGCAGTGCTGAGGGCGTCAGTTGACTTCCTGCAAGATTCCTGCTAATCTCTCTCTACTCTACAGGTGTGAACAACCCTCTCTCCTTTTTAATGGTCTTCCATTATTCAAACCATCCTTTCTTTTACAATGCTGCTCTCCTTAGCCCTTCTTGATAATGTCTGCGCTAAAGCCCTGCGGACTCTTTTTACCACGAGCTCAAAACCTTAACTCAAGTGTGGTCATATTAATTTGGGTGTAGAAATGATTGTCAGTGAAGCATTAGAGGTGCTGTCAAGACAATCAAGAAGTCTAGATCTCATTTTACAATGCTGAATCAGTGATATTTAACTGTAATGATTACAGGACAAATAACAAAATATCTTTTCAGTATTTTGGCCTAGTTTGTTGAATTTTTTCAAACATTATATACTCTAGCAAATTAGTGTGCGCGCCATTAAATGTATCTCTGTTTTTCTTTGATTTTAAACTAACCAAAACAGGCGTAAGCCCTTAGCCTCTTAGTAAAGCTTCTGGTTTCTCTTTCAATGGATAAAAATATGTGTTGTTTTATGTGGTGATAGGCCACACCACATTCACCTCATCCCCACCCCTACCCCCACCTTTTCAACGTCCTAGATCCACCTTCGACAATACCCATGTATCCCTCCATCCTGTGCAGACACATCATTCTGGTTCCAAAATTCTTTTAGAGTTGCTCTGAAAAGGAGGAATAAGGTCAGACAAACGTTACTTTTACTCTGCAACATTATGTCCATGCAGGAAATGATGCCAGTGTCACAAACCCCACTGTGGGGTGGGGGCTTGTGGGATGTCATAGGCTCATAGGAAAGTAGGGTTGGTTGGGACCTCATAAGGTCACCTAGTCCACCCCCAGCTCAAGGTGAGATCGTGCCTGAATAAACCATTCCACCAAGTGTTTGTCCAGCCTGCTCTTGGACATACTCAGGACAGGGAACTCCACCGCATTTCTGGGCAGCCTGTTATACTGTTCCAGCTCCCTCAGAGTGAGTCAGGAAAATCCTCTTAATCTCCAACTTTAATGTCCCCGGCTTCATCTTGAGGTTTCCTCCAGTCCTGCCTCCTACAGCCACAGAGAAGAGCCCATCTCCATTATCTCTGTAATTGCACTTCAGGGATTTGCAGACTGTGATCCAACCCCCTGCTGGTCTTCTCCAGACTAAATAATCCTCATTCTTTCAGCCTTTCCTTCTCAGTTTTGCTTTCCTGATCTTTAACCATTTACCCCCACTATGCTGGCCTTTTTCCAATCTCTCTTTGAATGTCTGTGTGTGTCTGTATCCTTGGAAGGGTATGTGTGGTCTTGTGATGCTGCATCCATTATGTAACTGCTACCAATATACATTATGTTACAGCATGTGTATTTATCTTTATGGTTTGGGAGATCTTTTCAGAAAGGAACTGAGGGATGCCTGCTTAAGGAAAGGGTGGGGGGAAGGAGAAGGGCTGCTAAATATCTCTGGTGATTGTGTCACTGGACAAGAAAAATGGACCATCTCAGACCCAGGCAGGATATATTATTGGCTTTGGCACCAAAGGCTTCATCTACCTTAAATGGGGAAATCAACTCCAGGCTCCCAGACCCCTCTTTTTTAACCTCCTTTCTAATCTGATTTTTCTGCCCTTTAGCACCCGTGTTATCACCTTCCTCAAAAGCCATAAAATGGGAGACAAGCAAGGGCAAAGGCCACACTACAGTAAAAAGACAGGGGCAGGAAAGGCAATGCTGGCAGTAAGTCAAATTGTCAGGGCAGGGGAGGTGGGGCACTGGGTAGAGGCTGTGTTGATAAAGTGAATCTCAGTGATACCCCTGCAGCTCTTTGAATTCATTTCCCTGTAGTGAAAGGCAGAAGCACTTCATTTAAATCTGATTGAATCAGCTCTCGTCAGCGCAGCATGGTGAGTTCTTCATGCCCTTGGATTTGGCTTGTCTGGAAGCCCTCTCAGCTCACCACTATGTCCCTTAGCTCAAGTCTCCAGGTGGAGGAACATAGAGCAGGGAGGGACCCTCTTTTGTGGGGGCCTGCACTTCTGGCTGGCATTGGCAGGGATCCTTGGGCTGCATTGCTCTCAGCTCTGTATTTGCCCATGGAGGTTCCTACACAGGAAAAGCAGAGGGATGGTTGGCCCTTTCTTCTCTGCTGTCTCCACTGACTTGTGTGTGCACATCAGCGTAGACCCTGAGATGGTGCAGAGTCACTTGGAGGAACTGGATGCCTTTAAGTCAGCAGGCCCGGATGAGCTCCATCCGAGGGTGTTGAAGGTGCTGGCTGACATCATTGCAGAGCCACTGGCGGGAATATTTGAACACTCGTGGTGCACAGGCCAAGTCCCGGAGGACTGGAAAAGGGCCAGTGTGGTCCCCATTTTCAAGAAGGGGAGGAAGGAGGACCCGGGGAACTATAGGCCAGTCAGTCTCACCTCCATCCTTGGCAAAGTCTTTGAAAAAATTATCAAGGCTCACATTTG